TCCAGTACTCACTCATTTTAGTGGTGCAGTGCAGGGTTATGAAGTGTACAGAATATGGACGATTGCTGGGTTAACTACTGCGTTGTGTTTATTTGCAATGGGAGGCAAACAGGTGGCCCTACGGAGAAGCAATTTGGATTTATATAGTGTACACTTACATGTACAAACTGAACAGGTACTTCAACGTTTTATGCTAACCAAGCTCCTTTTCCGGCAACTTTATAGATGTATTTGTACACTGTGAGCACATGGTTATTGCTTTCCTCTTTTCAGATGTGAGTCGTGAGCCCATGTGAAGCATTTGCAGCTCAACCTTGCCATACCTAGGAACAGTCTTAGACACATATACATGTAGGTCAAACCCATTGGCTGAAGAACAGAGCAAAGCCCATTTATGTATGCGATTTTTGTGCAACCACTTGGTCGCACCACAGCGTCGCAAACTCAAGTGTTTGGACAAATACATGGGCATGTCGTGCGATTCTTCTTGACGTAAATAGCTCACAAGGAAATCGAAAATGTCACACTGAAGTAAGTGGCCTATTTCTATGAGCCATGCCTCATCTTCTTCATTCTCTGAAGGGAAGCACGGCATTTTGTTGACTCTTTTGGCAAGTGGGACAAAACTGTCAATAGCCCCAACTACACTGAGTTGTTTTCTTTAAGCTTTTTCTTTATTGCATAAGACTTTAATTTTTAACTTGTAGTTCTTGTTGGCAAGCAGCCTGTCAGTGTAGAAAGAATGTAATCTGAATAGCAAGTCTCGCATCGGAATCACTGCTCCACACAATTTGCATTTAAGCTCCTTGGTATTTCTTTTATTTAGTTTCCTTTGTGAAGTAGACCCATATAAGGCTTAGAATGCCAGGATTCACTAGAGTGCCACATTGACACGGTGGGGAGTGCTTGACCAGCTTCGAGTACAGTGATGTGGACCTGATGGTAGCCGAGACAGCGTTGAAGGCCAAGACTTTTCCTGAAGACCACCTCAAGCTACCGGTCAAGCACACTGTCAAGTACACCCACCATTATATGTGTCGATGTATAGCTAAATCTGTGCTATCATCTCCTCAAATTGACCCAGACCACAGGCTCTATGGTCTGGCACTCTCGAGCCCTCTGTAAGTTAAATTCATCAATCTATACCCCATGTATTTCCACTGCCTTGCTTTATTTTGTTGAGTTTTATACAGCGTGCTTTTTGTTTTCTGGTTTTTGACACGCAGCCTTTGGGCCTCGGATTTGAGGAAGCAGTTCATCTGTTTATTTTATTCATTTTTGTATAAATTCATTTAGTTTTGTTTGATTTTGTTTAGATTGCATTTATAAGTTATTTCTTTTGCTTTTGGCAGATTGCAAAAGCCCATACTTTTCTTTTAATTTTCTAAAAGTTCTTCGAGTTGAATATTGCATACAATGTGCTGGGAACCCATGTTAAATTGACGTCATCAGAATTAAACTTTCACTGTCCATCTGTTCCGTTGTTATCTTTGTTGAGTTTGTCTGATCTCCGTCATTTTCAAAATAAAATCCAGTCTGTTTGTGACCAAGACAACAAAGGCAGTCATTATGAAACATAAGACCGTTATTGAGAGGGCAACAAGCGTGACACTGAATACCCTTACCAGTAAATGTCGTACAAATGAATGGAGTCTGCGCGTGCATTGGTTCACATGCTGGTTCCTGCGCTAATGCAATCTACAAACATTGTGCGAGTTCAGTATTCACTTCGGTGCTCAATACTGAATACGAAGCACCGTACAACACAAGTAATTGTATAGTGTTGGGACTGCAGAAGAATATAAAGATAGTAAACACTTAGCAATGGCAAGCTGTTCAGAGGAAATTTTGCCACCTTCTCTTGGAGTTGTTCTCAATATCATTTATTAGGACAGACTAGGTAAAATTTAAAGAAACATTGAAATTGGACACAGATACACAATGCAGCACCTGAAAATGTTGGTTGACATCTGTCACACCACCTGCCATGGGCAATCTGACAAGCGGAAGAAATTAAGTTTTGAGGGTGGACAATTAGATGACAGGTGTGTATCAGACTGGAATTGAATCTTAGACATCATGCTTAAGTCATTATAAAAACTGTAAAACTGGTCCATCTACCAGGTTACATCGATGCCATTTTGAGAGACAACGTGACGAACAAAACAAAGCCCTGCAGACAAATCCAGTGACCATGGTAATGCCACCCCTGGTCATTTGCGGTGGCCCCCTTTAATGGCAGTAATCTTTATGACAACTGTTCCATGTTAGTAGCTTCATACAACACCCGACACAATGCTGACCACCACTGAAGCGGGCCACCAGGAATGTCCAATAAACGTCAGTGAATTCGTCTATAGCCACAGGAGGAGATGCTACTGCAGGTTGAGTTTCCTCTCAGATGATAAAGAATCCAAGCCATGTGCTGGGTGAGAGGCAGCCCGTGATAAATTGCATACCATTAGGCTTCTGAACTTTTTTTCGGATGCACACTGTGGGAATACAAGTGGGCCCTTGGTAATGTGGAAAAACAACTTATGACCCATTGTCGCTTTCTGGATGATACCCTAAACTGCGGAGCACTAGTCTTAAACTTGGAGGGGGAGGGGGTTGGAACGCTGATGCCGGAATAGCAAAAGAGGTGGAACCAAGTTCACATTGATGGAACAAGTCACTGGATGTCAGATCCTCGGCAATAGGATCCAGTCTCAAATTTCAGGAGAAATTGTAGAGGACAGGGCAAATGTCTGCAAGGCAGCTTAAGCGATATGCAGTCCCATACAGATTTTCCAAGAGCTTTAGATAGTAAAAACATTTGCTGAGTTGCTGATGGGCGCCAGTGTGGGAATTCGCATTATCCTCTTCCTCACCAGGATGTTTTGAATTCTCTCCTTTTTTTCCTTCTCTGAATTTGGGGGGAATTTCGGCTGTGTGGTTTCTGTGGAGCTGAGGTTTATTTCGCTTTTGTACCAGGCTTGCCCAAAGCTCTAGGTTGTTTGGTGGACACAAGGTTGGGCAGATGTTGGATTCTCAGTCCTCCAATTCTAGCGACTAACACTAAATGCCAACTGCGATAGCAATATTAAACAAAGATGTCTCTCCACACTCTCAGCATTTTCCCGCTGACTCTACGCCCCTTCTTCAATAACTGACTTGTTCGCAACTTGACAATTTGCACTCGTCCGTCCCCCACAACAAACCCATGAGCTAAAAAAGAATGAAGAAAAGATACAGTGTCACCCGAGTATTTGGAGGTGATGAATGAGTCTGAAGCAGACCCTGTTAGCGCCAGTAGTAATGGCTTAGCAAAGCTGTCTCACAAGAGGGCACCACGGCATACAACGGAAGGCCACATGCCTTCCTCAACAAACTTGTGCGGTGACCAGACTTAGTCTTGTCACGACTGTGGAGGCACCAGGTTCGCATGCAGGCGATATGCGGACTCTCAATACATGTATGTGTATCTCCTTTCCTCGACCGACTGGGTACTTCTCCAGTCCGAAGG